GATTGAAATGTATAATTGCCTTCATCAATATTTTTACGATCAATACATTTGCCAATTAGTCTCGGGTTCGCACACTTCTTTCAGAAATGTTGTAGAAAAGTACTCCCGCTTTTATCCACTTGGAAATGCGTCAATTTTGAGTGAAAAACTTCTACCCAAGGAACCTTAAATATAGGCTTTCATGGTAATTTAAATTAGGCACTCAATTTTGTTTGTGTTTGGTGTTTGAGAAGATCACACTATTGAAGGTATTTCATTTCAGAGTTAATTTCTTTACTACTTTACTTATGACTTCATAAGCAATTTCTTTAATGTTAAATAACCTGAATTTGGACAGTTGTTCAAGCTCAATTATGCAGCGTACATGGTTGAAAATGTCAAATTCGCCATTTTAAGTTTCATACTTGTGTCCTGAAGCAGGTGTAAATGCCTAAAAATTACGTTTGACTGAATTGAAAGCCCAATGGGTATATTTATGGTTGCTGAAATTCCTTTCACCTTTCCTAAAAAATTGATAAAAATGTTGCAAATACCTATTAATAGATTGAAATGGCAATTGATTCAAGAGTGAGATTACTCTGAATCAAAATTTATCGTGATCGTACAGAAATTAGTCATGGTTTTTCCAATTCTATTTCTATTCGACCAATCGCGATGCTGACCACTTTTTGACCCAATCATGATAAAATCGGTCAGATATTTATGCTGCAATTACGTAATCCTTTCCAGTGGGTATTGCTAAGTAACTAAATGAATTTACGAAATTTTCTTTTGGCAAAGTGTTCCTACTACTTTCTATTTAGTTGTTTAAGCTTGATCACAGCTTTAACAAAATATTAAGTTTCACGGGGAGATTTCAACACCTCGAATGAACTCAAGCATACGACATAAAAACAATGTTTTAGGGATTCTAATATGATATTTTGCTCGTACTTGAGAGGTGCTCACAGTCTTTCCCTCTCCTTAACTGGATCATTGATTTGATGGGGTTATCCTGATCACACACACTTATATACATATTACCACCTGCAAAGAAAACGTTGCATACCTAGCAGCTGACTACATAAAACAAGTAATTTATCACCCATTTCAATTTTAATTGAGTTGAACCCAAAAAACATTGATTTGAGCTCCAATTCATCACTTTTCTCTTCCTTGAGTCTGAGTAGTTGTAGCTTTCGTGAAGGGCAACTGAAAGGTCACATAATTTAATTTCATTTTTTTGCGGTATGTAGGCATACAGTGGTTGAATGTTGATTTTCATTGCTTATATTTCCAAATTTTAATCAACAACATAAGTTATAATATGATTTTAACTCCAAGTAATAAATGACCTCAAGATTGTCATCTTTAACGGTATTAATATTAGATCATTAAGCCGAATTGTGGCAATGATTATAGTTATGTGGGATTTTTTCAACTTCCTTATATCGATTTGAATTACAGGTCTTAATTGGATGTGTACATTCAAAAAAAGAAATTAAATTATTATCTTAAGGACCAACATTCTGTGATTCTATTCCTCTAGATATGCCAATCTACACTGCAAGCTGCTACTTGGTTATGCAAAAGGAGCTGACTATTCTCCGGGTATGCGGTTTACAGGAGCCGCAGTGGGTCAGCATTCTTGGAATGCCGTTTTGGTCGACGGTACTTGGCATCTGATCGATTGTCATTGGGCCGCTCGACGCTTGATCGTAAAGAGAGCAAGTGTGGAGAACGTTCGATACATCCTCGATACCTTCTACTTCCTCACAAACCCTAGCCAACTTATTTACACCCACTTCCCCCATGATAAGGACTGGCAGTTGCTGCATCACCCTATTACCCTTGAGGCAAGATTGTTTTTATTCTACTTATATTGGCATTTCAGTAGCTTCATTATTGATTACAAATGTGTCACATTTAAATATTTCTTACCTTAACACCCATGGTAAGCCGTAATTTCAAATTATAGGGATCTTCATTAAATTAGTTTAAGATCTGTGAATCAATTCGGAATTCTTCTTTCGAGTTCTTGAAAAAGTAGAAAGTTGGGTTGTCAAAGCCGAGTGAGTCAGTGTGGAAGCTATTTAACATCGAAATTTATGAATTTCATGAGGGCCTTTTCAAGGGTGTGCGTACTCATTAATTTCGTGGAATAAAGTACTTTGAAGGAGTACTTTTCTTATGATTTTCAAAATAGTTATTTATTTTTTGAACCACATGTTAATTCATAGTCATCTGATTATCATGCGAAATTGTTCATTAGTTTGAAAGCTTGTTTAAACGAAGCGCTGTCACTGCTCTCCAATCCTCTCTGACCGAAACTCACCTGAAGGACATCAATTATCGATTTTCACTCGCCTCCACTTTGTGATAGTTTAACTATTTATTTATTTATTTCAAATGGCAGGCGTTTTGATAGTTATCATTAGCCCTTTAGCTGACTTCGGGCTTCACAGGGGGAAGGAACACCAAAGTAACAGAAAGTCGAGGGGTGGGGAACAGAAGAGTGATTTACAGATGTAAAGAGACAGACATGAAGGCAGAGAAAAGGTAGGATGAGTACTGCGCCAGAAGTCAATCGCCAGTTAATAGACTTTTTTGCCGTATGAGCATACGTTGCC